CTGGCCACCAATGCGGAACGGACAACACATCGGGTTAGTTATCTCTTTAGAAAGTCTAGACATAGATGTCTGTTATCTATTCGTCAACCGTAACCAATACTCTAGTGAAGTACTACGAATTTGCACTCAATCTGTCGCTTCGAAAAGCTGGTTTCACACACGATTATTCAGGGACCTTGTGGAAACTTCGTTTGGTTTGCGCGAGTTTGGTGTATCACTAAGCAGTAGCACTGACGCAGAACTAGTCGATTGTGCTGTTAGATTAGAAAGCTCCATAGAAGTGCGAAGATATCGGCGTGAAAAACGATATCCTTTCGTCATATCCACCTACGCTCCGACAGATTGCAGCCCGGATGCGATCAAGGATGTTTTGCTACTAGTTGACTGTTTTCATACAAAAAGTACGTTCGACAGATATTGTACTTCACTGACATAGTGTTGGGTAGACTGCTCGTGGCATTTCCTCAAGTTTTCTTGTTTCAATTTCTTACCTCCTATTCTCTGACTAGCTCTGGTTTTAACATAAAGGGAATGTAAAATAGTAAAGGCACGGTAATTCGTGGAAAGAACTAACATGCTTTTGTCAAATAAGTTGATCGAACAGTCATTCTTACAGAGGTCGGTTCTGGGAGGAAGCTATTATAACAACTTAAGTTGGGTGGTTAACAATTAGCCGAAAACATCTTATTAATGTCAAGACTTTAAGGCTGAGGTATTTGTTTACTTTCACGTTTTGCATAAGCATTATATTTCCTATTATCCTACATTGCATGTTGAAAGCTTTGTATATTTGAAAGGACAACCTCGCACTCCAACTGTTCTATTCCACGCTTATCAGTTTGGCGTACTCCTAACGGAAAACCAAGAATAACCTCTGGCATTGAACTACCGCCGGCTAAATGTTCCTCTAAAAACGTACGTTCGACGGATATTGTAGTACTAGCCGGAAACTTGAACTGATATGTCGGGCTTCTAGACACATAAAAAAGTCGTTTAGATGACCGATGGAGATTTGTTGGTCGCAGGTCAGATAACGGTGACCATCTACTACAACTTTGCGCAGACTACAATATGCTTCTGGTTAGCATTAACTATCAGTACATTCATCGCCGATGTGACACAAGCGAAGACTGTCACGTAATGGAATTGAGCAAAGCTTATGTAAGAATCGAGAATCCTGGTGGCCGAAACGTGCCAATGAGTCGGGAGCAGCAGCTGCATCTAATAACTGCCGGAAGCACTTTCAACTCATGCGAGTCACTGGCAGCACGAAGTCTGGTGTGAGTGAAACAATCTGTGAAGATGACGGGATGCCAGTCAATAACATTTACTGACGTCTCAGACGAGGAGCAGAGTTTTTCGAGGAGCAGGTCAACTGGTCTGCTGAACCAATAGCATCGATCAGACTGTCCTGCCTTCCATGGCCGGTATCGACCGATCCACCTAACGAGGTAGAAATTCGCAAGGGACTCCAATTCCTGAAGCGCTACAAATCACCAGACTCAGATAAACTACCTCCTGTCCTTTTTAAAGTCGTTGACGACCTTTTGGTTAAAAACTGACTTGAGTACGCGGATGATATTGTCTTACTGTGCGGCGATACCCAAAGCATACAATCCGCACTTAAACAGTCGGTAATTAGGGTCCTTAGGTACGGTATGTTCCTTGAACCTTCGAATTGCGAAGTACTTCTACAAGACCGGCAGGACCCTGAAGCTGCACTTACTCTGGGTAGTGAGCAGATAGAAGTAATCGAGAAGTTCATGTACCTATGTAGCTACGTTGGTGTTGTTAGTGGCGTGAGCGACGAGATCGACCCACGTATAGTGAAAGCCAGAGCGGCTTATGCCAATCTTGGTCATCTTTGGCGCCTTCGTAATCTTGATCTGGCTGGAAATGGTCGGATCTACAACGCGTCGGTGAGAGCATTTTTGCTTGATGCTTGTGAAACCTGACCTCTCCGAGTTGAGGATGTTAGAAGACTCTCTGTGTTTGGTCATCATTGTCTCCGGAGAATTGCTAACATTCAGTGGCAACATCATGTTAGCAATGAAGAGGTTCGGTATCGTGTGTTCGGGCACAGAGATGATAATTCAATGGGTGTCACTATCTTGGAACATTGACTTCGGTGGCTTGGACGTGTCTTACGAGTGTCGTCCGAGCAAATTCCACATCGTGCATTACTTGACGACACTGGGACTGGTTGGAGAAAGCGAAAAGAGGTTCGGTGTATGACATGGTGTTGTAGTATAAAAGAATGCTGTACAGGGGTGGCTTCTGTTGGTCCTTCATGACTTCCTAGTTGGGGTCCTGAAGATGGCACAGCACAGTAGCTAGAGACGTCATCAGACATGGCTCAGAATAGAAGCCAGCAGCGATCTTGCTGTAACTTTCTTTATAAAATATGGACATAACTTCTTTAACTGAAAGAATGCTTTCTGGTTGTATTTTCTCTAACTGAACAGTTCCTCGAATTATTGTTATTCCATTCCCATACACTAATTTCTGTTTATTGCTGCTCTTCTTTTTATTATACTCACCCATCCTTCTCTGACTCTTTACGAAATCAGCTTTATGGTATAATTTTGAACAATCTTTAGCTATTTCGTCTATGTACCCCAGAAATCAATATATCCAGACAATTTTATCAGTTCTCTCTTTCCGTAGTGACAATCAAATATTATACATCTACCAGAAATAAATTTATTTACATAGCTTTAAGTCATACCTTGTAAGGAAGCTAATCCTCTTGTTTAGCACCCAAACCACAATAAGTAGGTTGAGGTTCCAAAACAGGACTTGTCAACTGAAAGTTGAATGGTTTAGTTATCAACCAGATGATATACGATTATCAAAAATCCTAAATCGCTAATACAAGGGCTTGTAAAAATAAGGTGGAAATTTTAGTTCACTCGTTGCTTCTTGAATATTTCCTAAAGAAAAGCTGTGAGAAACTGTAACAAACAAATTAAAATAGGTGAATTTATACAAACGAGATTCAATAGAGTAAGTATTGTGTACACAAAGCGCTAGATTACCAAATATCCATATCCTAACAAAATCAATAAATAAATGTTGTCTGTGCAGAGAGGTAAAGAGTATGAATATATTTTATAATTTAATACCTGAAAATTTATTTTAGAACTGAGCCTGTTTATATTTAATCAGCAGACGGATTCAAAATTACGCTTTCGACGAGTTGGTTTAGGTTTCCAAAATGTATGAAATGTTCTATTACGTGTGGATCTTCTAAGCGCTGAAACTGAATCCTCTGAATTACAAAGGACGAAATCTTGATTTGGAGGAGTAATATCAGTGCATAAATTCATATCCAATTCAGTATTAGTTTTCTGTGAAACGAAAAACTTCTGTCTTTTATTGGCTCTAAGACGAATTCGACGTGCTCGTTCTTGAATTGACTTGAGAGGAATACAAATTAACCGGTAAAGGTGTAAACAAATGAAAAAAATAAGTCAACAAAAAGTCTACAATAGATAAATTAAAAATCGTCAAGGTTGGTATTGTATCACCAGGATTCCTCAGAACTAGGTGTCATGTTCCCTGACACTCATCGGTAATACATACTTCTAACCTAGCGGCAAGTGCTATTGTTTCAGAAATTTTAAGCAGAGAAATCAGTTTCCTCCAAAACTACAGGAGCGCTTCTGTGATGAGCCTTAACCAACCAGACATAATTCAAAAGTTTATTCAGTTAGTCAACGTTAAATGAAACGCGTAATAATATTGAGTAATTATTGTATTTTGTAGTCCAACTCAGTTACTATTTTGCGTTGCTTAACACTTCAAAAGTATAACTAGCTAGAGTGACAGTGCCAAGACTGTGGGGGGGGGCTATTCCCAAAGACGAATAACAACACAAAAAACTAATTCGTACGTATATGTTACTGAAATAACCAAGCCAGGCACATATGGACTGGAACCTCAATAGATAAATAATTCTCCTACATATAACAGCGCGCCCACACTTCGATTTCTCAACTGTCATGAGACAGTCTCAGGAGAGTATGTGGTTCATACGGTCATGCCAAAGATATAAGTGGTAGCGTCGGCAGCCATATAAATGGCAGTAGTTACTATCCGAAGGTTGTAAAGATAACTGTTTCACTGAACACTTAGCCATTAGTGTTATCGGATAGGGCACAATGACGTAAATGAATATATATATACTGTGGCTCCCGATATTACGTCTCTCCGTGGAGATGCAGAGGCGGAGACGCAGACGTCGTGTTTTTGTCATACAGCCGTTTGGAGGCCTCTTAAGAATTCTAGAAATTAAAATGCAGCCCACGATAACCCTTTGGATTCAAAGCATACTCTTGAAAAGTTTTTAAGGCTTCAACAACCAAAGGTGGCCATTCCCAAATTGTATATGCTCCCTCGAATCATTGGGTTAACAAGACCCCATCAACAAAAGTTGATCGACTTAGTAATATCCTAGGCCATAATAACCCACAGGTAGTAGACAATCTTTCAGAATTATACTCCTTAAGCCAACTGAATAAACCATATATGGTCTTCACATGTAAAGACTTACATAACCCTAACCTAAGAAAACTTAGGGTCACCAGTTTGTCCCATGTAGTTTCAATCTACCCTTAAGTTACAAAGGAATCTGTAAAGTTTGATAACATTCCTCCTCAGTTTATTGATGATACTGATGAAGGGCTTCTATGCTATGTATTATTTTCTCTAGAGCCTCACAAACTCTTGGTCGTCCCTAACTAAGAGCTAAAAAGATTTGAAAAAAAGGAATATTCCTTATCCACAAAATAATTTATTTTGGACAACAGTAATTCCAGGTTTCTCTTGTACTCTAGACTGTTTAGACTAAAACCCAGAAGATAAAACTTAAGAAACAAACCAACATCTAGTCACTCGTAAGAAGCATAACATTAACAAAGAATTTGTCCGCTTTTCATAATTCATTTCTGAACTTATTAAGTATTAATGCATGATCACTTTTAAATAAAACATGTAACTATATCCCAGTTATTTGAACCATCTTTTTTGTTGTCACAGAATCATGATATTCTTATTCAGTGCCTGATTCCGAGTTAAACATTAAAAACTACCTATTATAACGCTCCAACAGATAGGATAAACGTAGCTATCTATTATATGTCTTGGATTTTCTATCAACTAATGAAGTTGGATACAATGCTCCTAGTAGTGTGATAGAATCAGTTCGAAACTTATTTAATACCTTGAGCATTAGTCTACCTCTCGTTTGTGTATACAGAGCTCCGAACACTTATACTAATGTCGAAGATCTTGTTAATGCATTCCCACATCCCTCTTTTCTAAAATTTTGATGAGAGTCATTGCAGGAGAACTGCCGGCAGAGATCAGTAATGTGAAGAAAAATTTCTCACATTATACGTGAACTGTTGGTAGCGGCGGGTTTACATCGCAATGAGACATAACAACACCCTCGACCCAGTATTCTATAGAGATAACACTCCCTTACCTAAAGAAATTAAAAAATATTTAAAAGTAGTGACCAAATATCTTTCCGTGCCCTTCACATTACTACCAACCTTTCGAATAACCTCTCTCTGCGAAAAGCTGGTCAATAAGGGGATTAGATAACTGGACACTGGAACCTCCTTCAAATACTGTTGTGTCTAGATTGGAATGACCTCTTCCGGAACCATAGTCTGGTAGGTGCCATAAGTATATTTTACCAAATCAACAATTCATGCTAATAAACCCTAATGGTCTATTCATATAGCTTAAGATTAGTAACAAATTACGATGCTTGCAGAAACTTCAAGTCAGGTGATTCCTCCACAGTGGCATAAATAACTATAATTTTTAACCAAATTAAGAACGCTTTTGGTTAAAAAGCTATTTATGAAGAGTCATCAGCACTAAGTAGAAGTTCTAAATTAAAGAACTTAGTAGTTCTAATCAATAAACGCGTCAGATCATCACAAAATGCAGATTTTCCCAGCATCTTCGACAACAGTTCAGTTAAAATGACACAAAACTATTTCTAACCACTTCAGTAATAATACTGTAATCAAAACCAAAGGTTCGATCAGAAGTCAGACATATGACTAATAATTGCAAACAACTAATTTTTGTCACTTATCGCCAAATTACTAGAGCCATAAACCCCTTAAGGTTTAAAGAAGTCATAGGGTAATTATGATAAAATAGTCAGTCAGTCAGTCAGTAAGAACGTAGAACTACGTACGTTCGTACATCAGTTCGAGCTGCCATACCACATTAGCACACAGATACAATTGTCGATTCAAATCCCATTGTGGTAAAGGTAGTAAGAGTATAAGCAGTAATCGGAAAGATTAGCATTTGAAGATGTTATTCAATGAGTATAATCCAGTGAAATAAATTTAGAAAGAAAATAAGGAACATGAAGAATTCAGAAGATTAGAATTTGGGAGAACACAAAGAGTGGATGCACTTGCACCATTGCAAACGATTTTGAGCCATGTCATCTAGGGTCTCTAACGATCGGTCACCATCATCTCGCGGTCCCCAACCAGGTGGTCTACACATACCAACATGGCTCAGTCCACTTGTCAGTGACTTCATGGATTTGTACCATGTTTTGGTCTGGCCGCCCCTAGCTTTCCTCCAACCTACTCCCACACCACAAAACATCGCACGTCGGGGTAGTCGGTGGTCGGGCATACGTCAGAAGACTGCATTTTGTCAGCATCTTCACCAAATAGAACAATGTCATCGGCATATTCTAGGTCAAAAAGTGAATCTCCCGGTAGGAGTTCAACCCCTGGAAATTTAGGTGAGAAAAGTGTTATCTCTAAAAGCACGTCAACGACAAAGTTAAACAAGAATGGAGAGTGGACAGCCGTGACGAACACCACTTGAGGTAATCAATTCTGATGACAGTTCGCCATAAGCTCTCACTCTACCAGTTGTGTTCGAGTAGAGAGCCTTTACAAGGTTAATGTACTTCTTTGGTACTCCTTTCAGTGACAAACACTGCCATAGAACATCACGATCACCAGAGTCGAATGCTGCTTTAAGGTCGAGAAATAATACGATTGTGGGGCGCCTGAATGTGTGCCTGTGTTCTAGAACCTGACGTAGTGTGAAAATCTGGTCTATACAACCACGTCCAGGTCGAAAACCAGCCTGGTTTTCTCTAGTCTGTTCTTGACGAGCTTTGGTTAGGCGTCGAAGTATTATTGAAGCTAATATTTTAGACACTATATTAGTCAAACTGATTCCTCTGTGATTGTCACAAGAGGACTTTTGTCCTTTCTTATAGACTGGCACAATCAGTGATTGAGACCAGTCAGATGGGATTACGTCCGGTTCCCAGATTCCACCTAAGACCTCAGTCAATCTCACTGCTAATACTGGACCGCCATCCTTAAAAACATTAGGGGTAAACCTGTCAGGGCCTGCTGCTCTCCCGCGCTTCAGATTTCCTATAGCTTTTTCAACTTCGTAAGGAGTCGGAGGACTTACATCAACTTACCATTCAGATTGACTGGAGATCGTGGGGAACCGAAGTGTGGCTGAAGGCCAGTTGAACTGATCCCTAAAGTGTTCTGCCCATCGATCCAATCTCCTGGATTGAGAATGTATAATATGTCCATCTTTCTCTGAGATTGTTTCGCTAACAGTCGGGTTCCTAATACCGGTTTCCTTAACAAGTCTGAAAAATTCTCTGCTATTAGCTATTACCGCTGCCTTTTCCGTCTCTCTTGCTTTCGCTACCCACCACTGTTCACGATCACTGCGTAGGCTTCTTGTTAGCTTGCGCTTAATCTGACTCCGCTCTTCGTTATGTTCAGAGCCAGATGGAATGAGTTTCCGAGCATCTATCAGTGCGATAGATGCTGCTGAGATCCAGTGTTGCTCCCTAACCTTCTGGTTTACCTTACTAGCAGATATCACTGCTGTTTCCACAGCTTTTCGGATATCATTCCATGCTGCCTCGAGGCATGATAAAATAAATCTACATCAAATAGAGCAGACTTGATATTTCAATACTCCTATTAAAGTTGCTTACAATTACTTTGGAAACAGTTATCTATCATTACCGCTGGAATACCACATATGTGATACAACTTTTTAAACCTGGGAAAAGCCAACGTAGACAACTATACATCTACATATATTACTTCAGTTATCTTCATAAAAATAAAAAAATATTGGGTGACAAAAAGTCGGGCTATTTATATGCTAAAAAACTTCCTACTAATTCACAGAATGACTATCTTAAAAGTAGACATTACATGAGTTGTTTCCTTTGACTTCTTTAATTTAGTCTACCAAATGTACCTAGTTGTACCTTGTTTAAGCACCGTACTTTGATATTTCTAAAGCCTTCGACATGGTTAACCACCAGCGTCTTGTGGGCAAACCCACATTATATAAGATCAGAGATCCCCGTTTGAGTAGCTTAATGTTTTTTATTCACTGATACCCAAGGATTGGAAAAACTAGTCGGATGCAATTCCAATCACGAGTGGTGTAATACAAGGTGATATCCTATGTCGTCTACTCTCTATAGTTTATATAAATATCTGAAAATGCTTCAGAATGGGTAAAACTCTGCTGCAAGTAGATGATCTTAAAGTAGTGTATTCATTTTCCCCTCATGAGGTTATCCATATACAAAACTGTATCTGTACGGAGCTAAGTAATGTTACCTTACAGTGCTCAAAATGAAATCTGGAACATAGAATTGATAAATGTGGATGGATTTGTTTAGTGATTCTCTTCTCAACTTCAATGGTAAACTTAGGACTAAGATGTTCTTACAACTTGTTCCTCTCAAATTAAGTTAAAATGTGGACGTCTTACTTATGAAGACTTCTTGGTTGTATGACATGTAGCTTTAATAACAACGAATCACGTATTCTATAGTACAAGCATGTGTTTGAACACTACTAGAATATCACATTTTTATTCTTATTAGTTATGGCATTAAAGACGAACTGAGCTAGGAATCTGTTTAGCGGAGCTTTATGCTCCGTATTTTCACGAATGTATGCACTTTAAACTACAAGCCCAGATTCACTGATCCTTTACGAAAGTGGAGACTGAGACTGAATCTAATTTTTACTTTAATATATTAAACAAAATCATCTTTTGCATCCACTAATACAAGAAGAATTACAGTTATATCTGTGAAAAGTGAAAATATCTCATTCAAAATCTAATCTCTATATAAATCACTTTACAATTTACCATAATCTTTGAAATTGTTGAGGATGTGCCATCCCTAAATATAATCTATGAGGAAGGAGATCAAGATCAGTTTAAAGTGAATTTCAGGTGGATGTAAGGTCAATTTTCAACACAAATTCGTTGAATTACTATATGCACATTAAATATATTTTTTTTTTATTGTGCTTAGCGACAATCATACAGTTTATGAATCCTAATCCTAGTAACTGTTAAATAACCGATTAACTCCAATGCATTTTTTATTCTACTGAGGTCATCATAAACAAAACTTCCATAACAACACCAAACTCCTGTCTAGATAGCGAGAGAGGGAAGAAAAAGAAAGAAGTTTCTTTCACTGTGTTGGAATTATGGTTGTGACTATATTAGCATAGAGCATGACTATGTCAGAAAAACATTCACTGTTATCGCTTGTACGATACATTGATAATTTTCGGTCTTCTGATATTGTCTTAAAAAAGGATTACATCAACAATTATATCTCACTCCACTAATGAAATTATAGAGACTTTAAATGTGTGAACAATGTTACTATGACGTATAATTATTAAACTTCGCTAGGTGTTGATATCTTATCTGTTGATGATATTACAGTCTTATGTTGTGAATCCTTTACGCTATTCTTAGTAAGTCCCAAACCTTGTCCTAATTGGGTCATTTCGTTATTGTAAGAATATGTAAAGAACAGTTGATTAGTTTAAATGTAACCAATTATAATCAGTATGTTACGGAACAATCAAGTAGATACATAACGATAGACATATGACAGTAAATTCCGGTGCTCTTCTATGCTCTCTTATTGTAGATGTTACTAAGTATCCTCTAAAGGAACTGGAATAGCTCTTCACTGTAATACTCACTCGCAAACGTGACGCTCCAGTCCTTCTTCTAAGAAAATACTTATTCCTAACCGATGTATCATTAGTGACATCTATCATTACAAAAAGCTCATGATGTCTTATCTATGCCACTTCTTTGCGTTCTTCTTACAATGCTTACTAAAGACAAATCTTCCTTACAAAACTGATGACTTTTACAAAGTATGACTCCTATAAGTGCTGTTCTTCGAAATCTTATAACCTATGATGATGCATTTCATTTACATATGGTTCACATTATTAAAATTTTTGTAAAGAAATATTCAATGAAGACAAATTATAGATCACATCATTTCAAATAATCTACCCTAACTTTTAATGTTGCATTCCTTTTGTATTAACCACATCCTGTTTGTATACTGACAAGCATTCTGAAATTGTTTTCAGAATATGCGTAATACTATATTTATCAAGACTTCATAAATCCCTGTTGAACTACTTAGTACTTACCGTCAAAAACAATTACTTCCAAGCGTTCGCTTTCGTTTTGTAAGATTTCGCCTTCTATGTTGATGAGTTGGACAATTTAGATCAACATAGATTCCGAAAGATATTATGTGAACCAACCAATCATCAAAGCTTAGTGAATAATCTCTAACCGTGAATGCTCATTAAACCGAGTCTATAGTACCTAGAATATCATGTTGTACAACAGTAGGACTTCAAAAGTAAAAGTGCGAAATAGTTAAGTACAAACTCTAAAATATATACTAACCTGTTGACACATCAACTCGTGGTCACTGAAAAACTTCTGTTTTTGAAAGCCTTTTCCACAAAATCTGCATACAAATATTTTAGGTGAAGCATTCTTGTTAGATTCTAGGTGATTTCCTTGAGATAACATACACTCTTCTAGTTGAAGAAGAAATAAAGCTGTTTTAGAAGATTCACCACCACTGAAAGACGAATCTGCATTACGCAGCAGGGAAACAGTATTATTAGTGTCATCATTCGTAGTTTTGTTGGACAAGGCAGATTTGAATACTGAAAGGTTCATTTGGTTTGAATGTCTTTCAGACAAGTGTGTATGAATATGTTTAAGACTTTTGCAAATTTTCACACAAAAAGGGCACCTGTAATAACCGGGAAAAATAATATCATAATTGTTAGGAAACATATGAAATGCTTCACTACATCAATTTTATGTTAATCTTCATTTACATGAAAAAGTGAATTAAATAGTATGAGAACCACTTCAGTCGGAGTACTACTATTGAGCGTCAAAAGAACTTGGAACACACAAGAACTCTAAACTTTCAGGCTATAAGTGAAAATTACATATCTTAAGAATCTCAAGTTGCCAGTTAACACTTGCCACTGGAAATTGGTAAACTTACTTGCCAATGACAAGAAACGCTATTCGATTACTAAATAGTAATTTTTCGTCAAACCTAGCTCTTAGTGATCATAAAATTTTAAAGATGTCCAATGTTATCTTCATATTAAGTGACTCAGTACTGCACTCTGAAAAGCTCAGTGAAGTTTTCGACATCAGTAGACAAAAGTTTCAAATATCTAGAAGAGCATCAATTACAGTGATGTAAAGACTATGGGCAGTTAGATCCAGAGTTTCGTGCCAAATGTCTTCAACCACTTACGAAGACATTTGTCGCCGTGGATTGAGACCAGTGGTCGTCATTGATTTTAAAACAAATGTTTCATAGATTCAGAATTCTAGAGGAGAGTGACATAATTCCTACACTTGTGACAGAATTCTTGTCGATAATACATTCAATGTTCAATCAGTATTCTTAATAAGCTTTAACAAATGGATTGGAGGGATGATTATAATTTCAAACCAGTATAGGATCAATTTTCTGGTTTAAAGCAAACTGATGTGTGGCCGGGAATGATAATGATTGGTTGTTTGCTTAATCAAACTTGTAGATAGTCTGACAGGCGTTAGATGAGTTGCATATTCTCCTATCCTTATTATTATTGTTGACTGATTGTTGTATTTTGTCGGATTGTTGTCGGTTTTTGGTGTAGAAATATATTTACGTTCTTGATCTGAGTTGTGTTGAAGTCCTGTAGAATAGACACTGGGAGGGAATCTAGTGTAGATATTCGTCTAAGGTAAATTAACGTCCCAGTTGTGTAAACGCGGAAAACCGAGCTTTATAACACAAAGAAATTGCATACATGATACCAACTACCTCTAAATATTGGATATACCATGAAAAACAACCAGAAACAATTTAAAGGGTCATATCAGTAAAGCATTAAGGTTACGGAACACTCTTGAATCAGGAGCGCACGGATGTTATTTATTATTTATTTGAACACATAAATATTGGCACAAGAGAGCGCCCATATAGATGCGCACGGATGTAGCTAAATTTCCATTTCATACTCTGAGTTAGTGAAAAAAATTTCGAGACTATAAAATAATTTGTACAATATATTCTTACTTGAAACCAAATAATGAATTATCTTTTTTGAAACTTTGTAAAGGAAGTATACGGAATGTCGGATCCAAATAATTAGCAGCACTGGAGTATTCAGCTGACGACTTTGAACTTCGTTCTATATCCTGTGCATTAGTAGGCCTATGGTGTGAAATAAATTTACGATTCCTCTTCACCAATTTACTTTCCTTTTTTCTTGATCTAATATACAGCATAGGACAACCGGAGTTAGATCCATTACGTCGAGGCAACAAGTGTCTAACAAGATGCAAGAAATCTTCATTAAAAAAAAAGAGAAAGTTATCTCGTTTATTGATGACGTTTTTGAAGTTTTTATTAAAGAATATTTAAAAACTAATGGTTTGGCAATTTAAGAACCGGGCAATCAAACCACTAAGATTTTCTAACATTGCTGTGTTATACACATAGTTCCCTTTATCATTTTGAAAGGAGAGAGAACAAACATTCTAGCAGAATAGCATGAATTTGTTTTATTTCGTTGGTTTTTGTCAGCTGCTTACAACCTGTGATATTTAAAATCATAATTACATAATGGGTTTAAATTACTTACATGAGAGGGTTTAGTTGGAAGTTATATTGCTGTATGTTTAGAAGCTCTAGCAATCAGTCAGTATATCAATATACATACTGTTAGTGACTGACAGTATATACTATCTTTATGTCTTCTGAATCTATTTAATAGCCGATTCATAGTAAGTGCTGTCTTTTCACAATAAAAACTATTTAATAGTACAGATTGAAATGTGGCAGGATAAAACAACACATTTTACAACAGTTTTTAAATGGTGTTGAACAGTGATGTTTACATTTAATACAAACTCTCAGTTTGAATTTCTACTATAGCATGAATTTTTTGTAAATTAAAAACGCTGTGCATTAAAATAACTTTAAATTGAAACAACAAAATATTTTTAACTCTATGGTCAGTCAGTAAGAACGTAGAACTACGTACGTTCGTACATCAGTTCGAGCTGCCATACCACATTAGCACACAGATACAATTGTCGATTCAAATCCCATTGTGGTAAAGGTAGTAAGAGTATAAGCAGTAATCGGAAAGATTAGCATTTGAAGATGTTATTCAATGAGTATAATCCAGTGAAATAAATTTAGAAAGAAAATAAGGAACATGAAGAATTCAGAAGATTAGAATTTGGGAGAACACAAAGAGTGGATGCACTTGCACCATTGCAAACGATTTTGAGCCATGTCATCTAGGGTCTCTAACGATCGGTCACCATCATCTCGCGGTCCCCAACCAGGTGGTCTACACATACCAACATGGCTCAGTCCACTTGTCAGTGACTTCATGGATTTGTATCATGTTTTGGTCTGGCCGCCCCTAGCTTTCCTCCAACCTACTCCCACACCACAAAACATCGCACGTCGGGGTAGTCGGTGGTCGGGCATACGTCAGAAGACTGCATTTTGTCAGCGTCTTACCAAATAGAACAATGTCATCGGCATATTCTAGGTCAAAAAGTGAATCTCCCGGTAGGAGTTCAACCCCTGGAAATTTAGGTGAGAAAAGTGTTATCTCTAAAAGCACGTCAACGACAAAGTTAACCAAGAATGGAGGTACAATACTGTCAGCTATCAGACTACTAGTTTGTTGAATAAACAGTTATTGATCAATAATCTGATTTAAGTGAAATCTACAATCTAAATAGTCATAACGTAAGTTTACGTCAGAACATTCAAAAACGTTTACACAAATGTTTATCAAAATATTCATGGATATTAGCTTAGCACACGGATATTCAAAACAAGAGTATGAAGTCCTTTGGTATTGTACAGAATATCATACCATAACGTGACTCGTTTATCATGTACGGTTTTATATTACTCAGCTTTGATCCACACTGTCTGCGAGAGCTAGTGATGCTACCCGGACATCTGAAGTGAGACAAATAGACCAGAGTTTGAATCTGTGATCTACAGAGTGAAAGCTTCGTGCTTTAACTACGAAGTTGCCTTCGCACTAATATAACATTCAACATTTCTTTAATTAACAAACAACGTTCTCGAAAATGATGCATAACACCAAAACCCTTTTACGATTTCCTCAAAAAAAAGGTACGCTGTAATCCCATACAACACTTAACCTCTATCACAGTAACCTTATTGCTAAGGATAATGTAATATCGAGTTAATGGGTCAAGTACTACACTACCAATACGAAAGTATCGGTAACTGACATACTAACAGGAGAACCCCTGAAACTTTGGGGCGCAAGCCACTAACTACAGGAATGATACATAACGAACGAAAAAAAAGAATAAGAACGAATATAATAAAATTCATCATAAGATTAAAATCGAACTTACCGTGAAACTTTTGGTCGCAAGTTTGACATGCAAGTTTATCACTCCTGTTAACTCGATGTTTTTCTAACAAATGATTTAATAAACTGTTTGGTGATGAAAAAGAGGAGTTACAATCAGAAAATACACATGCATAAACCTGAAAAATAAAAATCATTTGGAAATCCCACAGTGGTTGAATACGCCAATTACGTAACACAAATATAAATCTTGAGTACATAAATTTTATTATAACTCTATCATATAATGAGTCAAACAAAAATTTCTGAAACTTATCTATGAATAAGAGGATCAGGTACTCAATATGTAAGGTAGAACAATGATAATATGGAGTCCAGATCCGAGGATATCAATTCGCCTTTCAAAGTATGAACCTAAAGTTGACGCTATATTTCTTAGACTATTACACCACAATCGAACCTAACACACAACTCGTCTAGTCTTATTAATCCAGAACAATCAAATTTAAGATAATACATTATCAACAAATTTATGTGCCACTGTCGTAATATTACTAACGGAAGCGCGAACGAGGGGAAAAAGTGAACTAAAAATGACACTTTCCAATCAAGAAAAGATTCAGTGTCGAGGGTAAATTTGAAAAAATATTAACAACAAACAATTCCAAACTAACAATCTCGACAAGAATACCTATATATATGGTCGTCTAAACTAAAATTACCTGCTTGTCTTTATGATGTACAATATGAGCCCGAAGTTGTATGTATGTTTCAAATCGTTGATCACAAAACCGACAGATCCAAATTTTAGGAGAAACATGGCGATATGAAGTAGAGTTAGTTACCACCTATGGTAGATAAAAAACCAAAACCCATTAGTAAAGATTAGTTCATATTAAACCCTTAAATCATACACGTAAATTTAATGTCTGTAACGGATAAACTGTATCTGCGGTCGTCGCAAAATGCATTTAGAGACATGTACATGTTAACACATATTCAATTGCTTCAATGTTAATACATCCACTGTAATAAGTACATGCCTGAACAAAACTAGCGTAACATGTATGAAATTATCATAAATCCGACGGAATAAGATATCTGATATGTCTACCGTTATCCTAAAAAATATCAAATCACGTTGAATCAGACGTTAGTGAATGGGTCATGAGAGGAGCTATTCACATTCACAATGATGTGGTGAGAATATATTAGCAAAACATCTCACGAAACAATGAAGATAGCCAAGAAATTTATGAAGATACCATGGTTGTTTATAATCTTTATAAAGAAACTACACACAAAAAGTCTATTTTGTTTTGCTCTCACTTCAGTTTGCTTATGCTATTTACTCAGTTACCAATTGATAAGAAATAATTCAACAACTTTGAACAAGAGAATTTAATTTCACCGATGGAAAGAACAAATGAGACGAAGTAATGAGGATTCTGATTATCTGAGTAACAGTAAAATAGTAGAACTTCGCATAGATAAAACTAGAAAAGAGGCTAGAACGAAAAGTAAGACAAATAACTTGGGAAATTCGAAAGTCTGGTTACATAGATACCACTGAAGATCTTATTCAGAAAAACAAAATGCAGCATAATCTTACAAACATACACTTACTTCAGTGTTTTTTGGAACTATTTCAGAATTTTGGTGCCCATTGGATGCAGCAGCAGTTACAAATGACACTGGTGGCCAGGCTCTGTGACTTGAGAGATGTCGGCGAAGGTTAGAAGCTTGAGTGAATTGACGTCCACATAAAATACACTTGTAAGGTCTTTCACCGGTGTGAATACGCAAATGATCTACCAAGTGACTTGGACGTGTAAAACTCAAAGAACAATGAGTACAAATCCACTTCGATTTTTTGGAGACTGTGTTATTATTCTCAGAAATGATAGGATGAATCACAGGTACACACTTGGCTGGGACATTTTCCACAGATGAATACTCCGTGTTTTTAGGAAGCGATTCCGACTTTGTATTACTGCAAGGGTAAACCACGGCTGGTGTGTATACAGAAGAAGAATTACGTGCTGATTGCTGATCTGTATCGGTCAAAAATGTTGCCTTAAATTAAAAACAAATTACAGAACCGAAATATTTTGAACCATGTATCGTGTATTGTAAAGCTTTTTCGAGAATAAAATTAAGAAAGAACAAATAAATAATTTGTTCATTAGAGCGAGGTAAAGAAAAAGATTCAAATCCTACTTACTTGCTATGAAAGAATTAGTATCTCAGTTATCCAAAAAGACAGCAACTAACCTGCAGTTTACAAGAACAGGGGAACTCTGTTCAGCCCTCCAATGTAGTCCAATAAAGGGAAAAATCAAACATTTAGGCAGATTTTGGATATAGTCAAGGACATAGAAAGTACTTATCTTGGAATCCCTAACAACAGTCCTAAAGATACTTAAGGCCTTTTATATGAATACTAAAGCCTCAATGAAATTGATTTTCACAGGTAGGAAAACAATGAAAATAATATTGAAGTTCATGTGCTTTTGAAAATATAAAGGATTGTTATTTAGTCGGTTATCAACTTTAATTTACTCACTCTGAAGAAGCGACTTACATTAGGTCACGAAACGTCAGAAATGCAAATTTCCACTCATTGGGATATCACAAAAAATATAATCATTACTAGATTTCCACCAACTTTCAATCTATTTAAACCTATTAAGTCCAAACTTGGTAGTGATACCTAAAAGCTCATTAATAACATAAGTACTTGATTTTCCACCACTGGACTGCAAGTGGAAGCGCGTTTTCATATACTTTGACTCATTCACTTATCATCAGATCATACTGAAAATGCAGCTGTAGATTATAGTAATCTCAGTATAACTTTTACTCGATATCTACTAAGAACATTTGTTTACTTAGTTGAGATGAAAATGAAAACTTCGTTCGGGGAAATTTATTCACATTAAGAAAGTAAAGTGGCTATGTTGCTCATCAATAAGATGGGTGCTAGGAGTATAGCTGAATAATGATTCTTCGAAATAACCGATGTTCAGTAAATTAGATAAGAATTTGTGGTTAAAAACTTACTTATCTAACCGGTGATATGCTAATTTGGTGGCGGTGGTCTAATTTGCCTGTAGTAAGTCGTTATGACGAAGACACAAGAACTGCGAATTCAACTAGCTCAATCGAAGTTTGGATGCTTCTCATCTAAAGTGACTCGTTGCTGTTGTTGGAGTTCTAAAAGCAGTTTGCCAATCATGTTATAAAGCGCTTGGAATAATCGTAAACATTTATGCTGGAGCATATGAAAAAGGTTAAGAGACTTGTCCCTTTGCTTTATATTGGTCAGGAATTATACTGAACAAAATTTCTTGTGCTACCAACGGCTTTAACACCGAATCCATTTGAGAAACTTTTGATAAGACTGAAATATTTGATGGAGTCGTGCAGCTAATGTGAGGTTTTATACATCGTTTTCTTGAAAATACGAAAGTCCGACTAAACTATACTATCCATCGATGTTACAGGCTTATCTACTGCAGCAAGTTCACGAGATTTATTCCGTTATAAATGTGCGCTTAAAAACAATAACAATGAAAAAACAAATTTAATTCCATTTTGATCAAGAATAGTTTTGATATTCCAATGCGTGGGAAGTGCCAACATCCCTGAAAGATTGACATACATGGATCATGCTAGTTGTCGTTTAAGACTAGCATCTATCGGTCTATTACCATTCTATAGGTTGGGGTCCAATATATCGTGTTTTCATCATAGTCTTCACAATAATGCAATGAGCTTTCGTAATTCAAGGTCTTCCTTATCTTAATAATATTAACACTATTCGAATTGTATTTTTGGTGCTCGATTGTACTGCATTTATGTTCATCGAATAAATAATGGTCGAAACCAATCTGTAAAGACTATCTGATGACTACCGTAACAAATAGCCCACATCTACCTATCTGCTTCTTCTTCTTCTTGTAACCCCTCTTACCCCTCTCAGAGGATAGTCTACTGATCAGGAATCGCTAACACAACTTTGTCCTGGGTTTTCCTTTCCAGTTGTTGCCAAGTACTATTTATTCTCATGTCTGTCTACGATTTCCAGCCCCATGTGTTTTCTCTTTGGTTTCCCTCTTTTCCTTTTGCCTTTAAGACTTCAAGTTGTGGTAGTTCCCCAAGCTTTAGCTCCGTATAACCCCGAATGTAGCTGCTACCTTGACGCCGTGGTCGGGCTTGCCTATTGTGATGACCCAACCGAGCTATATTGGCTGGAACATATGTTCCTGCAGGTTCTACCATGCCAGGCAGGTCGATTGGAGAACGGTAAGACTAAAAGCAGCAACTCAAGGTCTGAGGGCGAAGTCGTACTGCTGACTGTAGAGGGGTGTGACAGCAGTAAGGTGTTTCCCTCGGACAACCAGCATCTGCAGCGATGCTGCCTTCCCACAAGGAGGGGGTTAGAAAAGGTCGACCCTAAAAATGTCACACCTCACCTTACCTCACGGATTTCCGTCTCCGGCGGTAAGGCCCTTTGAAGAACGGAGCTAACACATTAAAAACCTTCCACGAAAAGGCCGTGCGCGACCGGCCTCAAGCAGTTGTCCCTTGGGCTCTGCGGTCACGCTCCCAGGTCGTTAAGACCAACACTAATCCAATTTCCTTTTCAGGTTCCTCAAGAAATACCCTTCCACGGTGTGGGCAGCCGGGAAGTGACATCAGCCCTCATACCCGTAACAGCACAAAAGACCAAGTTGGTCACATTCAAATCCTTCCTACACCTCCTAATACCTCTCTTATCTCCATGACTAACCCTCCTCACGTCTCTTTATCACCTCGCACCGCTAGGGCAAACGATTCGAGTACGCGGAACGCCATTCCTGGTCTCCTGAAACCACGCTCTAAACTACACGTAGGAGCTTTTAACGTACGAACACTGAGCCAAATAGGACAGCAGGCTTCCTTAGCTAGGACTTTAGAATCTCGCGCCATCGATGTGTGCTGCGTCTCCGAAACGCGCATACAGGATCCGAGTAGCGTCATTCATTTGACCTCACCATGCCAAAATAAAGAACCGACTCGATTCACACTTCGTGTATCTGGAAGCCCTGATTCTGCTTCCCGTGGCCTCGCCGGCGTAGGTATAGCATTGAGTCCTAGGGCAGAACTAGCTCTCTTAGAGTGGATCCCAGTAGACAGTCGTTTGTGCGCTGTCCGACTGAACGGAACAGTAAGAATCCGGAAAGATAGGGACACTCGTCGTTGCCTCTTCGTCGTCTCTGCCTATTCTCCCACTGACTGCAGCTCAGATGATGTAAAAGATGAGTTTTACAGAAAGCTTTCGACCTCCGAAAAGCTAGGCGCTCGGATGTAGTAATAGTGGCCGGTGACTTTAATGCTCAAGTAGGTAAACTAAGCGATAGGGAAAGACACCTGGGTGGCGTCGTGGCTCAAAGAACAGATAATGGCGACCGTCTGTTGCAGCTATGCTCAGATAACCGCCTGTTCCTTGCAAATACTAACTTTAAGCATAAGGAAAAACATCTTTTAACATGGCGACCCCCGAATTCGTCCCAACGTTGGACCCAAATAGATCACATCGCTATCAGCCACCGATGGAGGGGCTCGATAGAAGACTGTCGCTCATTCTGGAGCACATGCTTAGATTCAGATCATGCTCTAGTGCGAGCGCGTATTTGCTTGCGTCTTACTGGACGTAGGAAAGACGCTGCAAGGAAACCTCTTAGGGCCCTACTTAATGATAGTCAAGCTAAGAGTATATTTCAGGAACAACTAGGAAAACAGTTAGGCAGCCATGTATGTGATGCCCACCCCGATGCAGCATGGAATGATATCCGAAAAGCTGTGGAAACAGCAGTGATATCTGCTAGTAAGGTAAACCAGAAGGTTAGGGAGCAACACTGGATCTCAGCAGCATCTATCGCACTGATAGATGCTCGGAAACTCATTCCACCTGGCTCTGAACATAATGAAGAGCGGAGTCAGCTTAAGCGCAAGCTGACAAGAAGTCTACGCAATGATCGTGAACAGTGGTGGGTAGCGAAAGCAAGAGAGATGGAAAAGGCAGCGGCAATAGGTAATAGCAGACAATTGTTCAGACTTGTTAAGGAAACCGGTATTAGGAACCCGACTGTTAGCGAAACAATCTCAGAGAAAGATGGACATATTATACATTCTCAATCCAGGAGATTGGATCGATGGGCAGAACACTTTAGGGATCAGTTCAACTGGCCTTCAGCCACACTTCGGTTTCCCACGATCTCCAGTCAACCTGAATGGCAAGTTAATGTAGGTCCTCCGTCTCTTTACGAAGTTGAAAAAGCCATAGGAAATCTGAAGCGAGGGAGAGCAGCAGGCCCTGACAGGTTTACTCCTGAGATTTTTAAGGATGGTGGTCCAGTATTAGCAGTGAGATTAACTGAGGTCTTAGGTAGAATTTGGGAACTGGACGTAATCCCATCTGACTGGTCTCAATCACTGATTGTGCCAGTCTATAAGAAAGGACAAAAGTCCTCTTGTGACAATCACAGAGGAATCAGTTTGACTAATATAGTGTCTAAAATATTAGCTTCAATAATACTTCGACGCCTAACAAAGCTCGTGAAGAGCAGACTAGAGAAAACCAGGCTGGTTTTCGACCTGGACGTGGTTGTATAGATCAGATATTCACACTACGTCAGGTTCTAGAACACAGACACACATTCAGACGCCCCACAATGGTAGTATTTCTCGACCTTAAGGCGGCATTCGACTCTGTTGATCGTGAGGTTCTATGGCAGTGTTTGTCACTGAAAGGAGTACCAAAGAAGTACATTAACCTTATAAAGGCTCTCTACTCGAACACAACTGGTAGAGTGAGAGCTTATGGCGAACTGTCATCAGAATTGATTACCTCAAGTGGTGTTCGTCAGGGCTGTCCACTCTCCATTCTTGTTTAACTTTGTCGTTGACGTACTTTTAGAGATAACACTTTCTCACCTAAATTTCCAGGGGTTGAACTCCTACCGGGAGATTCACTTTTTGACCTAGAATATGCCGATGACATTGTTCTATTTGGTGAAGATGCTGACAAAATGCAGTCTTCTGACGTATGCCCGACCACCGACTACCCCGACGTGCGATGTTTTGTGGTGTGGGAGTAGGTTGGAGGAAAGCTAGGGGCGGCCAGACCAAAACATGGTACAAATCCATGAAGTCACTGACAAGTGGACTGAGCCATGTTGGTATGTGTAGACCACCTGGTTGGGGACCGCGAGATGATGGTGACCGATCGTTAGAGACCCTAGATGACATGGCTCAAAATCGTTTGCAATGGTGCAAGTGCATCCACTCTTTGTGTTCTCCCAAATTCTAATCTTCTGAATTCTTCATGTTCCTTATTTTCTTTCTAAATTTATTTCACTGGATTATACTCATTGAATAACATCTTCAAATGCTAATCTTTCCGATTACTGCTTATACTCTTACTACCTTTACCACAATGGGATTTGAATCGACAATTGTATCTGTGTGCTAATGTGGTATGGCAGCTCGAACTGATGTACGAACGTACGTAGTTCTACGTTCTTACTGACTGACTGAGCTCCGTATAACAAACCGTCTTAACATCTGTATTGCAAATTTTGACTTTAATGTTGGCTGACAATTGTTATGAGTCCTAGATATTCTTCAGTTGTAGGAGTGCTGACCTTGCTTTGTAAATCCGTGCTTTCACCCCTGCATCAGATCCACCTTGTTTATCAGTGATGCTGATCAGGTATGTTAAAGCTCCCAGCTCTTGCAGAGTTTCTCCATCAGGTGTGATTAGGTTGGTGTTCCCCGTGTTGTATTTGAGGATATTGGTTTTACCTTCTGTATGTTGAGGCTGCTGCTACATTGGTTGTCTTCATCTGTATTTGTTGGTGTGTATGGGAGGAAGAGCTAGATCATCTGTGAAGTCTAAATGGTCTAGTTGCATCTAAGCTGTCCATTGTATTCCGTGCTTCCCCTCAGATTCGACGATCTTCATAATCCAGTCGACAACCAGAAGAAAGAGAAAGGGGGAGAGTAAGCAGCCTTGTCTGTCACCAGTCCTCCTTGCACGACTTTGCAGTTTAGTCCTTCTTAAGAGTTCCGTATGATGGTGACGGTTTTCTCAGTTACTCCATAGTGTCGAAGATTCAACAAGGTTCTCCTATTCACGCTGTCAAGGAATTTGATGTATGGTGATGAGTTCCATTCAACCGATCGCTCAACAATGATCCGTAGTGTCGCAGTTCGGTCGGTGCACGATCAATCCTTACTCCTATGATTGGCATGCTAGTAGCACTGGATGGAATTCATTGTAGGTCACTGCCTCTGTGTTCTGAATGGTGCTTTGGTGATCCTAGATTCATGAAGTTCCCAGCCTACAGGCGATCTTCGTGCTTCTTTGGAGTACATCGGTGCAAATACTTGTGTTTGCGAAGTATTTCCTGCTTCATAACTAGAGTACAACAACACCTCTCCCGACGCTAGTTTTTTCTGTCTAGATTGCATCCAATGGGTTTCCCTCATTCCAGGTACTGACAGACTGCATTTCATCACTTCCGCAGTTATTTAAATGGTGCTTCCGGTCTCCTATATTTTCCAGACATTCCATGTATCGTCGTCAGAAAGGGCATCAGCCTCATGATGTTTGGAGAATCTCGGCTTTCACTGTGAGGCATCATAACTCCTCTGAAGACTTCGATTCTCAGGGCAGAGTATGAATAGTTAAAATGATTTTTTGTGGTTAGCGTCTCTTACAAAGGTTTTTTTCAATAGGATGGCACACCTACGCCATTGCGATCGATTCAGAGCGATGTCACTCAGAGTCTCAAACCATTGGTTACGATAGTCACGCACACCCCAACCAAGTAGTCTGCATCTACCAACATGGCTCAGACTAAAAGTTAGTGACTTCAAGCACTGATGCCACGTTTTGGTTGGCCGCCCCTAACTTTCTTCAACCACCCCCAACACCTGTTAGCATTGCATGCCATGGTAAGCGGTGTTCAGGCATACGCAACAAGTGACCTAACCATCTCAGTCGATGAAGATTCACAAACTCATCAACTGATTAACCATCATTTTCTAATACCCTGCGTCTAACCTCACTATTACTTACTCGGTGATCGCAGCATATACAAGCGATATTTCCAAGACGTCTGTGGTCAAATACCAGTAGCTTACGGGTATCTTCTACTCTTAATAGCCACGTTTCGCAGCCGTTAAGTAAAACAGAACAAACTGCCACACAGTATACTCGTCCTTTTATTGATAGACGGATATCTCGCATTTGCCATGAGTGACGTAGGTTGGAAAAGTCAAACGAGCTTTCTGAATCCGTGCAGAGATTTCGTCAGACGCCAACCAATCATGGCTGATCAGACTTCTAAGAGAAGTGTTGTCGATGCGTTCGACTACTTCACTCCCTATACTTAGTTTAGATGTTGACACAGGCCAGTCATGGAGCAACAACTTGCATTCAGAGGGGGAGAAACGCATCCCAAACATTTTGACATTGTTGTTGAGTGCTACCAAAAGACTGACTCCATAACCCTTCTCCTTTTTCCGGGTTTGAACCAGCAGTAATCCTAAGAAAATCTCAAGAGTTCCACCTATTAATGCTAAACTGAAACTAGTAAACATAGCTCACTAAAATCGCCTATTTCTTGCTCCATGTAAATATACAGTTTGATGAAAACGCAGATTATTGTCTAAATTGCACTGACTTTGTTGAATAAAAAGAGGAGATGTGAATAATTTCACGTCAGAGTTAGCTCCAAATATTCTACTTAGTGATTAATGACCTACTTTCCTTAATGGAAATTAGACTGACCTCATTTATGTTAGCTTCTTTGATAATCACAAATAGATGACTGATACCATACCCAATTTACTTTTGTTCGAATCCACCGTTAATAGTCATTGCAAAGTTAGTACTTTAGTTCAAAACCAGTTGAACTTGTTAAAGGAAACAGCACAAAAATTTACTACGTTCCAAACTTTATTTCGATACTTCGGTCCTAATCAAGGACATCACGGCAAAGTAAATGCGACGCCAATTTACATTAAAATAAATGTTCTTGTCACACCTCAGTGTTCATTGAGCTAGTTCCTTAAGTTTATTCAGAACAGTGACATTAAACTGGATACAGAAAAATCTTTGAAAAAAATATGAGTACGATCGAAACAACACATAGATAGGTTCCAAGTATATGTGCCCGAAAAGTCTCATCTATCACTGGACCAGCAAGAAACAGACCCAAAATCCGCTCCACTTAATTTGATTTGGATAAGATTTAGAGATAATACTTAACTGCCCAGTGTGTGGCTTAAACGCAAGTGCACAAACCTGGTAAATTCTACGCAACTTCCCAGAAATATAACGATGCCATGGATGACTAGGTTATATCAAAAATAATAATAATAAGAGTAAAAAAGCTAAGTGCTGTTGTCCCAACATGAACGTTTTCTATTGACAAGTTTTTGTTTCCCGAATTTAACACTAATCTACAATCAATAGTAAGACAATGAAGTATTTTACCTTACTTTAATTAGTGGTCACTTTAAAGAAACAATGAAACAGTTGATCACAAAAAAAACTTACCGAAGGCAATTCAAATGCATGTGTACACTGGACTGAGTTACTGTATTGAAAACTATTTGCATTTGTTTCATATGCTGTACAGAAAGGAACGTGTACTGTAGAATCCGGATAGCTGTTTGACTGCTTTAAACGAGAATCGCAGTTTTGATCAGGAATTAAATACGCGGAAACATAGGTATTACCTTGTGTGACCAACGAGTCTGGAAAGCTGGAGACGAATATACTATCATGCTGTTCACTTCGTAACCGTTTGGATCACAATCTGGATAAACTATGGCGCTAGTAAATCCTTCGGAAAAAGAATTATAGTAAGATGGTTTAGAGTGGTCGTAGGAAGTATAACTATGACCGGCCGTGGGAAAGAAATCACAGACTGGATATTCAAAAGTCTGATCAAGTAGTTCATCGGAGCTTGAAGGGCCTTGGTATACAGTAAAACCATTCACGTAACTTTCTCCACTGGCTCCGTGTGGTTCCACGGTATGAATACATAGAGATGAGTTCATGGAAAAATTGGGAACACCTTTGAAGTAGTGAGAATTATAGGAATAGCTTTCACTAGAAGAGTTTGGCCACGACATTGTGTTGTCTTTCGACTCACTGGTGAAACCGCTTACACGAACTAAATCTGAAGTTACTTCCAATTCTGATGAGAATGTTTGGGCTGTGTTATCGACACACATATGGATCTGCTCAGAACTCTGTCCATTATCAGTAGTGTTTCGTCCTGGAAGCTGTAATATGGTTGTGAAGCTCCGAGGATTTCTGAATGAGGTGGAAGGGTGACATAAAGATGACTTCCTAAAATACTATCTGCCCTATAATTAGGGTGCACATTAGACATGAGGTTTGTATCCTGGGGAATTTCCGTCATAACATCAAGAGGTGCATGTACAGCTTCCTCAGCTAGCCATAACAAATTCTGAGTAACAATATCTCCATAATAATCTGTGCTTGTCTGATCTGTATAACGGCACAATGTACTAGGAAACGTTGCTGGTACGTAAACCTCAGTATGCAACGAATATTCTGGAACTGTTTGAAAGTCGTCTGATAAATTGCTTGCACATGTTTCGGTCTCAGAAACCTCAAAAGTGACGAAAGAATTACCAACAGCTTCCGAATTAGAGGTGCGACTACTTTTACCTTCATGGTCAAAGGCACCAATTGAGTCCAATACATTAGGACAATTAAGTTCTGAGAGAGAATTCGGAGCTGAATCTGTGTAAACAGTTAAAAGTTTGTGTTGGGAATTGACACAAAATGCAGAATCAGAAATGGGCATTCAAAATCGTTAAACTAGCCAGTTATGGGACATTTTCTACATGTATGTAGTGGTCCTAGATGATAAAAAGAAACATTATGAGATGTTAATGAACTTTTCTTTTCAAACATTTATCTGCGTAATATGTAACGCAGACAAAATTATTAGAAAACAAACGCAAATGTTTAGTGTGAAACTCAAATGCATCCCTACATTAAGTTCCAATTTGTACTAGAAAAGACAATAAACAAACCTTCAGTTCCTTACAGCAACAAAGTTATGGACTAAACAAATATTTCTCAGTCATGCATCCACCAACCTGAGGGCTACATAGAATCAGTACGAACAATCATTATTGCAATCAAACAACTTATTATCACCCAATTAGCTTCTAAAATCTTGAAACAAATATCCGTTTGAAAGCTAACAAATCCATCATGCCCAAGTTAACGCACGACAATAACAGGTTCAGAAACATACAGATACGTACTAAAAGTAAACAAGGGTTGCCTTATTCGGTCAATTGTCTGCAGCTATTGTCGTCTAAAAGCACATCCTAACACCTCAATACAAGCGGATATTCGGGTTACAAATCAATATAAAAATCATGTTATAATGTCAAAGCCCCAGATCCAGATGAAAGCTCAAATGGTTGTGGACGGAATAGAAGAAACTTTCGCTTAACAGGTTTCTGTGTCTAGTAGCAAGGGATCACCAAATCCTCCAGGCAGGAACCTAGGTATGTTAACAATAAAAGAGGAAAAGAAACTAGTAAATCATAGTGTGATACTATCCTTAGTCCTTAAGAATAGATCAAGTTGCCTCTTAAAGGACTCCTGGGAAGTCGCTTGGACTAGCTCGGCCGGCAGCGAATTCCAGCATTTGACAACTAAGGAGTAGAAGTTGTCTACAGTCCGTTCTACCATATTGTGTCTCCAGTTTTTGGGTGTTACCTCTTAGGTTAGTGTTGGAACTAGACTTAAGTAGGTGTTTGAAAGGATATCCAGAAGTGTTAAGGATACTATAAGCCATCATAAGGTCACCTCGAAGACGTCTATACTCTAATGGGTAAAGGTTAATTGAATAGAGGCGCTCTTCGTAAGGTTTAAATTTGAGTCCTCGAACTGATTTCGTGGCTCGCCGTTGGATACACTACAGGGTGTCCTTATCCTTTTGGAGTGAGGGGGAAATACTATGTTTCCGTACTCTAAATGGGGACAGATAAAACTATTGAAAATTATACGAAAAGTTCTTCCGTCAAACTGGCTAAAAATGCGCTTCAATGTTACCAGTGCAAGGTTTGCTCGCAAATGGACTACTTTACACTTTGAAGCCGAGTCAGGTCCTCCTGAAGTGCCTGTATATCGTCTTGGTTGCGTATCCCTCTCCAAAGTTCTACGTCGGCGGCAAAAAGTAATAAGTCTGACGTTACCTGTTGAGGAAGATCATTTATGTAGATCAAAAAGAGCCCTGGGGACCCCACTAGGACATTCCATAGCCTGAGATAAAGTGAAATTAACCCCGGCCTTAAAGTCTCGATTTTTCAGGTACGAAGTGAGCCAATCGATTAGAGGTGGTCTGATACCCAACCGTTTGAGCTTGTTGATAAGACATGTATGGTTAACCTTATCAAAAGCTTTTGAGAAATCTCGGTAGATGATATCAACCTTCCCCTGCTTGTCCATCTGTCCACCGCAGTCAGCAGGTTGGTAATACAAAGTAACCCTTCCTGAAACCATGCTGTTGGGGTGAGAAGAAAGTTAAGGACAGTAAATAGTCATTTATACCATCGCATATCAAGGACTCCATGATTTTTGAGGGTATGGAGAAAGGAGCCACCGGTCGGTAACTTGAAGGTTCGCTGCGTCGACCTCCTTTGAAAATTGGTGTGATGTGAGCCAGCCTCCAGTTTTCCGGTAGTTTTCCTCGACTTAGCGAGTGTGAGAACATCACGCTAAGCGGCGTTGCCAAGATTGAGGTTGCTTCCCTCAGTATGACGGAATGGATCATGTCCGGGCCAGGAGAAGTGTCTAATCTTAAGTGCTGCAGTTTCCGGAACACCAAGTCAGCGCTTAGGTTCACTTCGGAAAGTTCTGTGGAATTACAAACGAAACTGTCATCAGTAAAGTTAATGTCGGTCGGTTGAAATGTCTGGGAGTAATGTTCAGCCAGAAAGTTAGCGGCGTCGCCATCGTTGTTGGTCGGGCCGTTAAGACCTACCAGTTGGGAAACTCCAGTTTTCGTTTGGTGAAGAGAGGCTGCATAACGGAATAAGCTTTTAGGGTTGGAGGCAAATTTGTCCATAAGCTTTGTCTGGTACTGAAGCCTATCTTCTCTTATAGCCTCCGTGCATATGTTCCTCATATTTTCGTATTGTCTGTACGCTTCGTCGTTGTCAGTTCGTTTGTATTCCGCCCAACAGTGCCTTTTGCGGCTTAGCAGACGAAGGGTACGGTTCTTGATTATGTAGGTGGCTTGCAGCTTTTGGGAACCGTTTGAGGAACCGAATGGTTTGTAGCACGCAAGAGCATGTGCAGTAAGAAGTCCCAATGACCGTCCACATCGAGTTGGGGGAGAACATCCCAAACCACCTGTTGTAGATAGTGGATGTGATAGCTGAAAAGGTTCTCTGTCTAAAATCAATGCATATTCGCTACATTGCCTTCACACTATAGTATCTCTGATATTAATCACTTAACATAACGTACTTTGACACCTCAGTGTTCTGTGGTATAATCCCAACTTCGCTAACCACCAGTCCAAGGTCGTCTACACGCTTGACCGCCAGCCTTGGATGACAATACGGAGCCAAGACTACTCAAACTGGAATTGACATTTGATCATAGCACGGTGTGTCGTAGTCTTAAGGTCATGCCTCATTGTTACCTCAACATCATTGCTAGACCGAACCACGGGGACTGACTTTTTCACTATACTGCGCTGATTTAACTTTTTATCCCTAATGTTTTCGTAGATACACTTGTTCGCGTTGATAAGCATAAGCCATTTTTTAAGACCAGCTAATCAAAACATCTGAGTCCATTTAAATTGCATATGCTTCTGTGTCTCCTGTAGTTTTCCGCAAAATTTTTTCACATATTGGCGTAGAATAGCGTAAGGGAACCCATTTACATACAGATTGAAAAGTAAAATGCCAATGACACAATTTTGCCGTACTCCACGAAGTACGGGTTTCTAGGGGGAACAATCGGATTTTGCAGTTGGTATCTGTCCACGGCCTACTAAGAAATCCACTTAAGGAGAGGTTCAGCTATTACTATATTTTCCAGCTTCATGAGAAGTCTGTTAATGGGCACCATATCAAGTGCTCGGATGAAGTTTATATGAACAACATTAACTTATTTTTTCATCATCAAAGACCCTGTCTATCTCGCTCTTATTGTGCAGGACTGAAGCGCGTTTTCACATACTTTGACTCATTCACTTATCATCAGATCATACTGAAAATGCAGCTGTAGATTATAGTAATCTCAGTATAACTTTTACTCGATATCTACTAAGAACATTTGTTTACTTAGTTGAGATGAAAATGAAAACTTCGTTCGGGGAAATTTATTCACATTAAGAAAGTAAAGTGGCTATGTTGCTCATCAATAAGATGGGTGCTAGGAGTATAGCTGAATAATGATTCTTCGAAATAACCGATGTTCAGTAAATTAGATAAGAATTTGTGGTTAAAAACTTACTTATCTAACCGGTGATATGCTAATTTGGTGGCGGTGGTCTAATTTGCCTGTAGTAAGTCGTTATGACGAAGACACAAGAACTGCGAATTCAACTAGCTCAATCGAAGTTTGGATGCTTCTCATCTAAAGTGACTCGTTGCTGTTGTTGGAGTTCTAAAAGCAGTTTGCCAATCATGTTATAAAGCGCTTGGAATAATCGTAAACATTTATGCTGGAGCATATGAAAAAGGTTAAGAGACTTGTCCCTTTGCTTTATATTGGTCAGGAATTATACTGAACAAAATTTCTTGTGCTACCAACGGCTTTAACACCGAATCCATTTGAGAAACTTTTGATAAGACTGAAATATTTGATGGAGTCGTGCAGCTAATGTGAGGTTTTATACATCGTTTTCTTGAAAATACGAAAGTCCGACTAAACTATACTATCCATCGATGTTACAGGCTTATCTACTGCAGCAAGTTCACGAGATTTATTCCGTTATAAATGTGCGCTTAAAAACAATAACAATGAAAAAACAAATTTAATTCCATTTTGATCAAGAATAGTTTTGATATTCCAATGCGTGGGAAGTGCCAACATCCCTGAAAGATTGACATACATGGATCATGCTAGTTGTCGTTTAAGACTAGCATCTATCGGTCTATTACCATTCTATAGGTTGGGGTCCAATATATCGTGTTTTCATCATAGTCTTCACAATAATGCAATGAGCTTTCGTAATTCAAGGTCTTCCTTATCTTAATAATATTAACACTGTTTGCTTCGGTTTGTGGCAGTAAATAAATCCCTGTAGTGGATAGTTTTATATACCTTCGATATTGGTGCTGACCTCTTTAGTTTTACTGGACACACCCAGCTGAAAGCGCTCGATCACGTATCCGCAGCAGATCACGAGTGGGTACACCTTGCTGCGCACTCTTGCAACTGTTGACTGGTTTAGGCCAAACGCTTCCCAATATATCGGTAGCCCATCAAATGTGTCTTCCAGCCTCTCCACTTCTGATTTCATTGGGTCAAGATGCTTCTATCATAACGGTGTTATGTGTAAAGCTGTTGTCAAGCTCCGAACTTTTGTGACATCCTTAAACAGGGAACATCGTACTCTTTGGCGCAGCAATGTACTGTGCAATAACTATATTTTTGGGTGTACTTTTTCTTGACTCGTTGATGTTTTTTATGTCTAATAAGCTAATGGCCCTCAGTACGTCGTTTCGATCAAAGTCGATGAAAATTAGCCGGTTTCGTCAATTAGTACTTGGGTCTAGTTCTTCATCTTAAGGAGTCTTCCTGGAAAAAACTTTCACGAGATAGTCCTCCATGACCTCTGATTTGTTCTGTTATAGTTCTGTGATTCCAGATGCCCTCCCTTCCGTACTAAGATTGGGAATACGACCGTGCAGTATGTTTCTGCAATTTATGTATGACAACAGTCTCCTCAGCTGCCTGAATACAAATCGTCCCAAGTGTTTCTCGAATTTTCTCTGATTTCTTCCGATTGCGTTTATACACTTATTTTGGGTAGACTTGTAACGTTTCATCTTATGTGTTGTACCAAGGATAATAGCGACATTCTAACCTTTTTATTTTGTCTTAATAAACGTCGAATCTCCCGGTTTAACCATGGATGGCTGCGTTTATTCTTTTGAGCTGAACGGGTGTAAATGGTTCGGTCACTTGATCGTATAACTATCGAAAATTAGTCCATGACTCTCATACTGGTGCTCTGAAGTCAATATTTCAGTTTTCCGTTGAGGCTGCAGGGTTGATCGTCTTCATGTCTACCTTACATATGTCAGAAAGAATGGATCAACTTCTTGACAGATAATATGGACCATAAAATTGAGTAGGATGACCGCATGGTCACTTCTCCCTATATTTGGGAGGAACTTTATTTCATCGACATCACCGTATGTGAAGACTAAGTCCGAAATGGATGAGTATTGTAGGCCATACCTGTTAGGATCTCGAATGTACAGAAATAGGGCTAGGGCGATCACGGTTCCTAACAACTTGTAATTAAGCGATGTTTTTAGTAGCCTCACTTCTATGTTTTCTCACTTTAAAGAAAATGGCCAACTCACATTGACTGAGACTTTCTGTAATTCGCTTATTCGTTGCGTGCTTTTCTTGTCCCTTGTAACCATGACTGCATCTGTGTATTTGATATCTACGTTATGGGGACCCAGCTTGATGGTTTCGCTCAAATCTGCAGATGGACTCACGATGACGCTCTTTACATCATTGACATCTGACAGCTGCTAATTTGCCGCTGGTCGTTTATCTTGGGACTACTGCCCAGCTGTCAGTCGCCTCGAGAATCAGTGAAGACTTTGTAGGGCAGCATGCTTCGCATGGCCAACGTGACAGTACCTTTCAGTACTTCTTATATGCGTGTGAGTTCGGTGCACGGGTTGTGATATTAACCGTCGCAGTCGTCATATTGCAATCCATCTCAAGCCATTAACATGCGTGTGGGTCTGCCACAACGATGTTTCGTTCGCGTCATCAAATTTTCAAATGATCTCACCAGGAGAACGACACGAAAATCCTTTTAAGCGCTAAAAAGCAACAGATACAAGAAAACTGATTTCTAGAATAAGTATTTCGAAAGCTCTATAAATGGTAGACACAGAACACACAAGACTAAAATTTCTATGTTATTGCGACTGAAAACCCAAAATAAAGAGGTATACTAGAAACTTCTACACCCTAGAATACCATCGAAACTAAAATAAATAATCGACGAGGAAGAATACCACCTCCCCTTTCTAATAAAAAGAAACAATTAATAACAAAAGACCTCTTCTCTATTGGTTGTTCATCATGACTCTACACTCTACTTTCGAAGAACGGTAACTTTCATCCGTCTGTATTTTTTATGGTTGGAAGTGTAGCAGCCCCTCAGTAGTATCAGGGATGTTACTCTATATTTGCTGCTTCATACTCATGTTTTTTAACCCTAAGTCGGCTATGTTATACTGTTAAGATAACCTACTGCAGGCATGTCCACGCTTTGATTCTGAAATCAAAGGACTATTAGTTGATATAAAAAATGGATGGTCAATGATGAAAAAACATCATAATAATGACAAAGGTGTTTCAATTTATAGACTAAGTCTTTTTTTCTCATTCTCAAAGTCGATAACCAACTTTTCACTCGCCACTTAGACTGATTTTTTTCTTTCACTTCACGACTCCTCGTTCTTTGTCTCGATAACTTGTTTGTAGACCTTTCCACCGCCTTTCATTCTGGCGAAACTAGCTGATTGGAGTTTTACCTACCGAATAAACACACCTGTTCCTATTCAAACAGCTGAACGTTGTCAACCACTTACAGTCTTTTGTTCTGCTGCTCATCTTTCTCTCTTACCTTTATTTCAGCAACTATGTACCACATAGGTATGGAGTTCTTGCCTGGAACTTATGCCATATACTCAACATATGAGCTTTTAAGGTCAACAGTTCATTAATATTTCTATTTTTCACTAATTTATCATTATTAGAAATATTTCGAACACCTATTTCATATGTGGCTGATATGTTTCCATTGACTTTCTCTTGTAAATTACTGCCGATTTATCGATAACTCCAGTGTCTTCAGTCTTCAGCAATAAGGATAGGAGGTCTATCGAACCCTATTAATCCTTACAGTTTGTAACATTATGGAGTTCCAATCTCGTTCTGAATATATCAACAGAAGGTGCTGATATTAAGTGTTCTGTTAGAGAATTCCAGTAAACTCCAAACGTAGACGATTTAATCTCGGTTTTTGAACTTTCTTCGAATGTCCTCTCAAATGATCAGCCCTAGACAGAAGGAAAATATAAGACACATTAAGATAGGCCAAACAGACCTTCTACCATTTCAGCCTCTTGTCGTTGGACTTGTTTCAGCATATCCAACTCATACTTGAAACAAGGACTCGCTGCTTGAATCCCATACTCTTAATCTAGTCGCTCGAAAGTAGGGTAAAATAATCTAAACATTTCTTCATCCAAATACTGGAAAGATCTGCGAATAGACCATAATACCATATAAGCTTTTGCAGCAACAGCCTTACAGTGACTGGTAGTTTTGAGATCACTGCTTAGTAGAACTCATAAATCTATAGTTTCTTACTTTGGGTAACACTTATCCACACATTGTGTAGTGATATGAATCATCATAGCTATATGATTGCATCACCACACTCTTGTTAGGGTTCACTTCTAGTGACCACCCGTCCATCCATGTCATCAATGAGTTGAGATCATCCTGTAGTACTATTCTATCTGACATGTCGTGTACGGGTCTCCAACTTCTTGCGCTATCAGCCAAGAGTTGAGTAGATGATATTGCTTCAGTTGGTAATCCATTAACATAAAGTAAAAAGAGAGGAGAACCAAGGATTATGACTTAGGAACCCCACCTTATACGGTTTTTCATGAAAAAAAAGCTCCATTTAGCCTTACCCTTTGCTTCCTATCATGGATAAAGTCACTTATCCAATCTATGACCGCATAATTAATTCCAAAACTTCCTGGTTTTAATTCAAGATTAGAATGGCAGACCTTATTAAAGGCTTTAATTAGATCTGCGAAAATCACGTCTACAAAAGTATTTCCATCTTTTGCCGCGGCATAATCTTCTCGTAGAATGAGAGGGTTTGTCAGACAGATTCACAGTTTACGAATTATCTTACCAAATCGCGTCGACCTCATCACTTAAGATGCTACTGGTGTTCGAAGTTTGACAACAGCTTTACACATAACACCGTTATGATAGAAGCATCTTGACCCAATGAAATCAGAAGTGGAGAGGCTGGAAGACACATTTGATGGGCTACCGATATATTGGGAAGCGTTTGGCCTAAACCAGTCAACAGTTGCAAGAGTGCGCAGCAAGGTGTACCCACTCGTGATCTGCTGCGGATACGTGATCGAGCGCTTTCAGCTGGGTGTGTCCAGTAAAACTAAAGAGGTCAGCACCAATATCGAAGGTATATAAAACTATCCACTACAGGGATTTATTTACTGCCACAAACCGAAGCAAACAGTGTTAATATTATTAAGATAAGGAAGACCTTGAATTACGAAAGCTCATTGCATTATTGTGAAGACTATGATGAAAACACGATATATTGGACCCCAACCTATAGAATGGTAATAGACCGATAGATGCTAGTCTTAAACGACAACTAGCATGATCCATGTATGTCAATCTTTCAGGGATGTTGGCACTTCCCACGCATTGGAATATCAAAACTATTCTTGATCAAAATGGAATTAAATTTGTTTTTTCATTGTTATTGTTTTTAAGCGCACATTTATAACGGAATAAATCTCGTGAACTTGCTGCAGTAGATAAGCCTGTAACATCGATGGATAGTATAGTTTAGTCGGACTTTCGTATTTTCAAGAAAACGATGTATAAAACCTCACATTAGCTGCACGACTCCATCAAATATTTCATTCTTATCAAATTTTATGAAAAGCATCCTCCTACTACTAACCAAAAATTATTAGAATATTGATTGACATTGGCTCTGATGCAGGAAAGTATTAGTTCAGTTCGAAAATCGTTCAATCGCTTGTTTGTGCGACAAGTATGGTCGCATAAGTTAAGTCACAGAATGAATAAAATGTTCCTAACGGATTAGTCAGTCCAGGGCAATAAAAACATTTGAGGGAATTAAAAATTCCGTATAGAATATATTTCCTTATTTATTCGAATAGCCGACAGAGCAAATCGAATAATAATACCAAACATCCTAACAAGAGTATTTTTACACATGAATATTCTAAATCTGGTTTTTTTCTATAATCTATCTCTACATCACTTAATATCATCCTTTGATCAATACCCAACCTTTTATTATTGGTACATGATAGATAAGCTGTCATTACAAACAGAAAAAATGCTTAGTGGATCAAAACTTTGAAAATGACGTCACTAAAAGAGTAATATCACAGCTGCACAGTTTACAATAGTTAGAGCCTATATGAGAACAAAGCGAGAAACAGATGGATAGATGCTCTGTCGAGACAATCTCGATGCTAACCGCCACAACATGGTGGGTGCGGTAACAAAGAACTAATAAGGTCGTAATGGTCCCACTCACCTTTAACGATTAAGATGTGCATTTAGACGATCTTGTACATCAATCAGAAAATCGTCCCAACTAGATCATAATGATCTAAATGTTATATAAATTTCTCATTAGCGTGGAACCAACTGTATTAGTGATGGACTCGAATGAACTAAGTTGACGACTGGGCACTCTATTTCGAACATTCCAAGGTACCTATCTGAGCAAACGTACAGTGGATAAACAGACCACAAATTATAATAGAACTACACAGGAAATCTGGGAGTCCTGAGACAACAAACAAATATGAACACCAATTTTCATAACAATACAAATGAAAATAAAAAATTTCGACAATTTTAACTTCTTGAACCACAAATGGGACTAGTACTTTAAAACACGTTTGTAAGTTACACTCTGAATAGGCTTGTTAGGAATCATGTGAAATTTATTACTTGACAAAAAAATCCTATGACTAATAAAAAAACACTTAGTTTAGTGACATGATTTGTACAGACATCTGTTGCTTGTCATGATTGCATTAAGTATTTTAATAATGACAATGGGAACAACTGCAATTTTAAGTAAAACAATGTTTCTAATGTGGCTAAATACAATGCCACACGAGGGAAAACTAACAATACGTATCGCTTCATTCATACAATTGTCAAAGTAGGATTTATATGATGACGGATCACTCAACTCTGAAAATAGATAGTTCCCCTATATACTTAAAATTTTTAATTATTTCGGACAATAATTAGATAAACTAAAATCGTTGAAAGTATTCTCGACAGATTCTCCACCCATCTGAAGTCTTACAAAATAACATCACTGCTGAAAACCACGCACAAAGCGATGGTGATTGTAAACTCGAGTAAGCAGAAAATACAGTGGAATAGATAAGCAATGAAATGAGTATGTGGAATCATGATCTACTATGATATTAGTACTGCTCTAATAATAGGCCTAATCTTAAAATTGTAGATTTGTCATAATACAACTGATTAATCTATAAGATCTTACGTGGAAGTCACATCATTGTCTACACTGACTCATCGCATCGTAATAATTGCCAATATGTGATGGAGAACAAGCTTAGGCTAGAGATAGAACGATATACTTATTATGAGTAAAAGACATAAGGTAACATTCAACAGAGACCACGCTTGCAAAACCGAGCCATGCCAACCGACCAACTCGAATTAATTCGATTCATTGTTCCCGCATCCTACATCGATTGGTTTTTCTCCGCGTTAACTGTTGAACATCTATTTCCCCAATTGTCTCGTGCTCAGCTTTCATGATGTTCTATTTAGGGCCCAATGCCACTGAAATTATGACGTGTACACAAGTCGTATAAAAGCAATCAATAAAATATTAATTCAAAAACCCTTATCATTTTAAATTGTGGATGACATTCAAATAACAGATCACCACAAGAACTCATTAGTCTGACGAGCTTTTTCCTCAAAAGTCTGCCTTTATTTCAATTATTATCATAAGTGAATCTCATTAAATGATCACTGAAAACAAGTGACTTGAGAGATTATCGGTTCCTAACGAAATTTCAGAGAAAAGAATCAATAAGTTAGTTGAAACGCTTGAACTGAAATAGACATTATATTTGTCTATAACATATGGAGCAAATGACGACGACTATGAGATTACTAAAAACAATCATTCAATGACTTATTAGAGGAAACTAAACATCCAATAAAGTTGCAGTTCTACATATCATACCACTTCCTAGAGACTAAGCCTAAGCCCACTATTAACTCTTTATTAGTATTAATACAAACGATAAATGCTTCAAATACGTCTACTTACGAAATACATTAGGTCTTTTTATGTCATTTGTTTTCAGATATTGTGCATCAACAGTATGAAAAAAAGTTGACAGGAAAATCATATACTGTACCCGTAAAGAGTATACAAACACCTAGTACAGTCAATAAACCTCTGTAAGAGCTTTGTGTGTCAATGTTAATGTGAATATCCTGATAAGTTAAGCCGTCGAGATGTTTAAACTTTGTGATACATAAAAACCAAATCCAAAGTAATTTGATTTCTGGATAAGCTTTCAAAAGTGAAGTAAATCACAATCACAAAAGTATGACAGATACAAAGTATAAAACTGTGTAAGTTACCACTTAGAAGTTCTTTCAAACATACATTATTTATATGGAGCTCAACGGTTTAAACAGAACTTCCATTCACCAAATACAGTCGTAAAATCGATCAACATCTGTCTAGTATCTCTATCACCAATACAAGTAATTTGTAAAGCTTTGTATGCGGACCGACGCTTAGTTATCAAATACCGCTGGATATTGCATTGACTAACCACTAATGGTATTTGAATTAATTGATTTCTTACGTACATGATTACGCAGCTGATTTGATTTCCAAATACAACACTTCTAGTTACGCCATGTTCTCTTTAACTTTGATACTCCTAGCCATAAGGAACTCATTATTACCGATTAGCACACTGGCGTCGTGGCGGAGTCCGTTTTTGAACAGTTGGACATTCAAGTGAGGCTTTTGAAGACTATATCGGACGAGAACCGGTGCTTTCAACGTAGTATGGTCGCCGACTATACGGAGTAGTTTTAAATCTAGCTCGTGATTAGAAAATGTATTAAGGATAATAAAAACTCAACCCATTTCCCGATATTCATTAGTAACGACGCGTATAACTTGTCGAAGAATCTGGTTTTTCTACACAAGCCAACTTATTTCCACATAAAATCCTCAAGAAATTACTCAGTCATGTGCAGTGTGCCAGCTTTGAATGCAGAAAAAGATCAAAATTTCATAAAACTTTGAGATGGAATGACCAGAATGTCAGATATTTTATACATAGACTACAGAAAAAGGCTGCGAATGATAATAATGGCGACCAATTGGGTATCCAACTTTGTGATCGATTGATTCCTGAGATAAATATTCAGAATTAGAAAATAGAGCTAGTTCAAACATCTGAGAGCTCAATTCAGAAAATTAAAGGAGCACACATTAATTATTAGGCCGTGAATGAGCCTGATTTCCAATCAGTGTATGTTTCTAATACTTAGCTCAGTTGTCGTGACGAATTACATCCTCAAGGCCGCCCAAGTTTGTGTTTAATCAAGCATAATTCTCATTCTCGTGTTAATACAAGAAATAATCCAAAAAAGGTTTTTAAAGCAACATATTAGGGTGAGCACAAGTTTGGTAAATTTTTGTCTTGTGGCAAACTGTATTCTTGGAAATCATGTCCACCTCACGATGCTTAATGCTTTAGGTGTGACGAAGTCAAACATAGCAGGTTGATGTGTATAACTACTGGTGATATTAAACCCTGTTATTCGGGTTCGGATCATTCTCATATTCACATGGTACCATTATTAACAACTTGGAGTAATTCACTTCCCATTCGAAAACGGTTATATCCGTGTAGTGGTTCGTTTCGTGATTTTATTGTCGATACTGGCGGTACCAGCACATTATTTCAGTCGGAACGTTCGAGTCATTAAATTCCAATGCTATAATTAAACCTACTGGAGTTTCTACGTCAAGTATTATTGGTCATAAACTTCCTATTCTTGGATGTTGTAACTTTCCGATCGGAGATGATAAATCTTCAACCATAACCTGTAGATTCCTTATCACTGATCATGGACTATTTATTCTGGGGCTTGAATATTTAATAAGGCACCAAGGACAACTTTCCTCATTGACCACTGAAGGCAGTTCTGGTGGAGTCTGATAACTCGTTGACTACAGAATCGAAAACGAAAATTTGCACATAACTCTACAACCTGTCTATTCTAATGCTCAAGCACAAAATGTCAGTTGCTTGAATACTGAATTTAATCCTAATACTTCTAAGAAATTCAAAGATCAGAGAGGAGATTAGGTGAAATCTTTAAGTCCATAAATCCTAAATCGTATACAAAAGAAACAATGACAAAATTGTTTAGACAGAAAAATGCTCTTCCGAATACTGAGTGTTTATAGTCTGCTGACATTAACTACTATCAAGAAGCTGATCCTCGACAACTCACAAAAGGTCTGCTTAAGAATGTTGGTAAGTCTATGATTTGTATGCATGTCAGCCACATCAACGGAATATTCTTCAAGGAGCCAGGTGAGTCAGTTTGGGTTTCCATTGCAAACACCAATACCAATGAGTTTTTCCTAAATAATACTATTACTTACTTACGCCTGTTACTCCTCGTGAAGGAGCATAGGCCGCTCCCCAGCATTCTCCATCCAACCCTGTTCTGGGAAACCCTTTCCAGCTCCTTCCAGTTGTTATTCATCTTTTTCATATCTGCTTCTATTATCCGACGTAATGTGTTCTGAGGCCTTCCTCTTTTCCGCTTCCCTTCAGGATTCCAAGTTAGGGCTTGTCTCGTGATGCAGTTTGACGATTTGCGTAATGTATGTCCTATCCATTTCCATCGTCTCTTCCTAATTTCTTCTTCAGCTGGAAGCTGATTAGTTCTCTCCCACAAAAGGCTGTTGCTGATGGTATCCGGCCAATGGATGTTGAGTATCTTGCGAAGGCAGTTATTTATAAATACTTGTACCTTCTTGATGGTGGTTGTTGTAGTTCTCCAAGTTTCAGCTCCATACTATACCTAACCCCAAAAATTACTCTAAGATGAGTTCAATCAATCTGAACAGAAGACGTACAAAAAACTACGGAAGGCCCAACATCCATTTAAGCTGTGGCAGTCGTGATATTTGTACTAATTGACGATTTCCTTTGTACATGATTCCGCAGCTGATTTGATTTCCAAATACAATACTTCCAGTTATGGT